GCGACACAACCGCCTGAGAAGAGGCAACCGCACCAGGCGACACAGCCTCTGAAGGAGGGGCGACATCTGCAGGAGACGCTTCAGGCGACACACGGGGTACGGCAGCAGCCAAAGCGGCGTCCACACCCACCGAATCCTCCACAGGGAGTGGGAGGAAATCCTCCTCACGGAAGAGGTTGACGGGCGCGACGGCAGGTTCAGAGCACCCAGCAGCCTGATGACCCAAGAGGCGTACTTAATAATACGTACGGGGCTGGCGAGCATAAAACACTCGAACATAACACCCCAGAAGCCTCACTTGAGAAGGAATGTCCACCCGCAGCCTCATTCCTAGGGTGCGAATATTTCATCCCACACCCTTTAGCAGACCCGAGGAGAGCAAGTGCAACTGCACACTGACGACCGCCCCAAACTGGCCGAAATAACGCCTCAGCCGTCCCTCCGGAAATTCCAGGGGCGCCCCATGCACGCTTACATAATTGATGGCACCACTGCGATCGGAGACAGTCACAGTGCCCGCACCTTCGGGCAGGGGCAAGGTCCGCCCCTCGTACCGACGTAAAAACGCCCTATATACCTCCTCTGTCGTTAGTTTAACAACCACTCTATGGGCAGACACCAGCTCAACACCATAAACAACCCCCACAGGGACCCACAGCATGTCACACAGCACCAAACCCACCTTGGGATATCCTGTCCGAGCAGAAAACTTGAGGCCTATAGTCTGGGCACGCACAACAGGGAGGGGGGCCCCATGGCGCCGACACGCCAAACCGCACCCGCCCCCTCGCAACTCTAGGTAGCAACTGGCAGGTCAAGCGAGTGCGGGTTACTTAACAAAATATTTATAAATGGCATTTATTTGTACAATTTATCGCCATGGACACCATGTATAATAATAATATCTTGTATACACTAGGTCATAATAGTGGGTAAGTTAGGTAGGTAAGTTAGGTAGGTAAGATAGGTAGGTAAGATAGGTAGGTAGGCAAGTTTGGTAGGTAGCCAGGCAGGTAGGAAGGCAAGTTAGGTAGGTATCTTGGTGGGTCTGTAAGTGGTGGTAAAGCAAATGTTTTAGTTATGAGTGGAAAATTAGCAAATGGGTACTGGTGTGGGGCGTGTGGACATGGGGGAAGGGATGGGCATGTGGCTTTTATTTGGGAGGAGGATGGGGTAGGCTGAGAGTTGTCAGGTGGTGGGAAGCATGATGCCTCTGTCACACCTCGCTACCCTCCCATCATGCCTCAGTCACACGTCGCTACTCTCCCATCATCCCTATTCCTATGCACACTCCCTAGTCACCTAGGCCACGACATGGTATAAGGATTGCAACCTGGAGTTCTACTGAACACAAGGATTTCCTGAGGCTTCTACTGAAGCCAGAACTGGATTTTCACACAATCCCCCCCAATGCACTCTGTTCTGGCTCTGTCAACCAAGCATGTTCTACCTCTGACGCTCCTCTTTCAATACACAGAGTATGGCAGAGCCAGAATGCATGGGGATTGTGTGAAAATCCTGTTCTGGCTTCAATAGAACCCTCAGGAAATCCTTGTGTTCAGTAGAACTCCAGGTTGCAATCCTTATACCATGTTGTGATTTAGTCACTAAGGTGAATGTGTGGGAACACCCACTGCATAGGTTCGACCCTTCATCACAGCTCCTACGAATTTTCTCATTTAAAGTAATATGAGTTGGTGGATGTTTGCCAGTTTGGTCGGCTGGGGACATGTGCGTTTCTATCCGCCTGGTCGGTGCTGACGTGGAGTTCAAGATAGGGGTCCCACTTCCCCCTGTAGTGCGGGCTCAGTCTGTGGGCCTCGAGTTTTCTGGATGAGCTGGGTACAAGGAGGTGGCACTCGTGTTGTGTGAAATGCTTCATGTCCCTGTGGTGGACATTTATGGCGTCGAGTTGGTGACAGCAGGTCGGGCGATTATCAAGTTTACAGAGGAGCTGGCGTATTGGGAGTTTCTCCGTCGCTACGAGGGGCGGACCTAACCCCTGCCAGACGGTGCGGGCACTGTGACCCTCTTCGATCGTAGTGGTACTCTCACTTATGTCAGTGTTCATGGAGCACCCTTGGAGTTTCTGGAGGGACTGCTACGGCGTTACTTCGGCCAGTTTGGCACAGTTGTTAGCGTGTGGTTGCACGTGCTTTCCTCGGGGATGCTCAAGGGTGTGCGGACCAGCATTTGCACCCTGGGAATGTGGCTACGATAGGACAGTCCGTCCTTTGTGAGACTCCTAGGATACCACGTTCGAGTGTTTTATGCCTGCCAGCCTCGGACGTGTTATCGTTGTGGCCTTTTGGACCATCAGGCTGCTGGGTGTTCTGCACCCCCCGTTATGCCAGTGAACCTCTTCAGTGAGGAGGATTTCCTGCCGCTTCCTGTGGAGGAGGCTTCGGTGGGTGTGGATGTGAACGTCTCTTTGGCTGATGCTGTGCCCCCCCCCCCTCCCCCGTGTTGACTGGTGCCCCTCCTGTTGTTGTAGCCTCTTTTCTTGAGGTTGTGTCGCCATTGGATGCTCGTCCTGCTCTGGTTGGTGTCCCTGGAGTTCCTGTGGATCTTCAGAGTGCCTACTGCACGGTTCCCCCATCTTTGAGTTCTTCACCTGCTGTGTCCGTCCTTGCGCCCTCACCGTGTGTCCCGGCTGTGCTGTGTGCTGGGTGCTGGGGTGGGTACGGCGCCTCCTGTGCCCGACTTGGTACCCCATGTGATCGAGGATGCTGCCGTTCTTCGATGAGCGTCGAATTGCCCGGCTTGTGTTGCACGTTTCTCTGAGTCAGCCTCCGGATCTGATGATGTGCAGCTGGAGCCTAAGCATTCCTGGCGTTGTTCTTCTGCCTGGGCTGATGTAGGCGAATTAGACGACTGTGGATCTTCCGGTGATGACAGGGTAGCTCCAGTTGCATCGCATTCTACGGTGGTGGTGGAGGTGCATGTGCCTGCGGTTACTGGTGCTGGTGTTTTGGCCTCTCCTTCTGGTGTGGCGCCTGTGGATCGTGCTTCAGGTGCGTCGCCCACGTCATATGGATCTGGTTCTTCGTGGGGGATGGTTTCCCCTGGTGAGGTTCATGGTGCGTGTAGTGACCTGGTGGTGATGTTGAAACTGGTTGCCCGATCTAAGGGTTCTGTACCCCCTTCCTCGTTCCCTGTTTCCTCGGCGGCGGCTTTGTCGCCTCTTCCGTCTTCGGCCATCTCTTCTGTATCTCCTGCGGTATGGGTGGAAGTGTTACGCATCTCGGCAGCCATCACCTTCTCCTGTGCGTTTGGCGGCAGGTCCGTCTAGGCGGCCTACGTACGCTTCTTCGGTGTCTTCTGCTTCCTTGGGGAGGGTGGTTTGCCCTACCCTGCCTCGTTAAGCGACATGTGTCGGCGAGTTTAGAGAGTGGCCGTTTCCGCCTGACTTGGTGATTCCTGTGCTTATGCAGGAATCACTTTCGCGGAGGCAAGGGGATCGTTCATCGTTCCCCTACCGACATGGGGTATTTGGTTTGGGAGGCCTATAAGCAGAAGTATCCTTGAAATGAGTTTCCTGAGAAATATGTTCCTGATTGTGAGAGATGTATTCCTCGCCCATGATTTCTTTGTTTGCTGTGTGTTGTGGTTTGTTTCTGTTTGTGTGCATGGTTGTGGAGTGCGTGTCGCATGTGTGTGGGTGGGACGGGTGTGTTTTCCCGGTTCCTGCATGCTCCGCTTTGTGGTTGTGGGTTTATTAGTGTGGATTGTGTGTATGTCCGGTTCCTGTGCGTTCCAGTGTTTGTTTGAGTGTGTATCTGGTTGTGGACGTCCTGTTATGTTTTTATGTTTATTTTATTGTACTGGTTGTGCGCTTGTTTGTGTGGTGTTGCGTGCCCTTTGGGGTGCTAGTGTGGCCCAGCCTGTTTTTGTTCTCCTTATCATGTATTGCGGTTGTAGTTTTCTTTTTATTTCTGTGTTATGTATTTGTATTCCCTTTCTTATTTTTATCATCATTATGCATTAGTGCATCTCCGTGTGTGGTTTACGGGGGCAGTAGACTCTGTTTGTATAGTTATGTTCCGGAGTTTGGGTTGTTGGGTGAGGGTTTGGGTGCTATGTGTTGCAATGTTGTCATTTTTGTACTATTTTCCTGTTTTTGTAATTATTGTTGTGTTTGCCATTATTATTGTGTTTTTGTTGTCGGCCCTTCAGGCTGGTGTTTTGTACTTAGACCTTTTGTTATTTTGTAATTTTGCGAGTTTCTTCTTTTGTAATTTTGTACTTTTGTGCTCTACTTGTTTTGTTCTAGTTTGTTTTCTGTTTTGTTTTTATTGTACTTATTCGCATGCTCGCATGTAAAAATAAAAAAAATTAAAATGTTGTGGTTTAGTCACTAAGGTGAATGTGTGGGAACACTCACCGCATAGGTTCGAACCCTCATCACTGCTCCTACGGATTTTCTCATTTAAAGTAATACTAAACTGCACAGACTCTGAATGGTGTATTTCATATCAACCAACTTCGTGAAGAGGTATAAGGGCTGAACGCCCTTTAACGATGGCATGGGGACCAACACACGACCCCCGTTTCTTTATGACACTTCCCATAAAATCCCCTTTAATACTGCAAATGAGACTAGCCCGAGCTTCTGGCCTCCAACCTCGGAGAGCCAAACAACCTCGGACAGTTTCTTATAGATTTAGATTATGTTTTCCCTGTGTATGTCTTAGATACTCATAATATAAGATTGTCCATACTTGCTATGAGCATTAGTGAGCCCTATCACAGTCCGATTATAGTGGCTCCATAGTTCACCAGGCATGGCTCACTCTCAGCTACCTGCAATATACTTAAACATGTATTGTACTCTTCCTAAGACAAATACAAATATCATTATGATACAGTTTAACTTGGACTGGATAAAGCTTAGCCCTAACCTGGTTTTGTATAAATTAGGTCTAACCTGACTAAGGAATAAGCTGAGTTGAGTAAAGCTTAAGAGTCCCCAGCCTGACGGTGGTCTGCCAAGCTCTCACCTGTCACTCTTGTCCATACAGGCGACGAGCGGTGGAAGTATGCCGGCCTGGATGAGCTGCCTGATGGGGGGCTTACTGGAGGAGAGGAGAGCCCGGGCCTTCTCTGTGTTGGCCAGCTGGCGGCGCCGGTCCTCACTGCCGATACCTGCCACCAGCTCCTCCACCTCATCTGAGATGTCATCTTCCTCCTCCTCTTGTTCTTCTGCTTCACCTGCTGCTTCACCTGCTGCTTCACCTGCTGCTTCACCTGCTGCTTCATCTGGCGGTCCTTCATCATTCACTCCCGCTCCTTCCACATTTTCTTCTTTGTCCTTAAATAATTTAGACACCCATTAACCTCGGACTAGCATACTGCTAGTTCGGATCTCACAGCCGTTGAGTGGGCTTATATACACATTTTCCTGACTAACAAGCACAAAATTATTTACATATTATGCACGTGTATAATTGCTTGAAGTAAGGTAGTAACGAGGCCCAACACGTCACCGACCCCACGCCGGGTCCTCGCTCTTCCCACCCCACCCGGCCGGGTCCTCGCTCCTCGCTTACCACCACAACACAATCTTAATCCAAGATAAACACTACAGCATGTATACAATCACTGCAGCAACACTGTTATCTCATCAAAATATTGTGCCATATCTCATCAAGAGAGATCTTAAATATGGCAACAGTCATATCGATAACCGGCTATCAGAACTAATAAGTTTTAGGTGTTTGTAGTGTGTGTTATAATTGGCCAATTTTGCATACTTAATAACCTTAATCTATTCAATAAGTCAGTTTGCCGTTATATCGAGGGAAAACTCCTCAACCAATTAAGCACCTTATCTTAATCTTTACAATTTAATCTGAATGTATAAATATATGTATAAATATATGTATATATAATTTATCAGTATAAATTATCGATTGCTATCACAGTTATCATTAATCATATTTACTTGCCTATTTGCATATAATATCTTGCTTGTATCATATAACTAGTTGTTATAATTATTAGACAATCTCAGTTATTGACTGTGCAGTCAAGCGCCTGGCTAGACTGTGTAGTGTTCAGATCTTTTTGATACTAAGAACACAACCAGTATTTACAGTCATTGTACGGTGTTTTATTATTTATTCCATTGTAAACTACAATGCTGATGTGTTTAAATGCCAACAGGTACATTGTGTTTCTTCCATCATTATCCTGGTGTTAATAAGTAACTGTACCTGATACAGCCCACATACCTTCCTAAGACATGGGGATTGGCTCGATGTTTGGTAAAAGCTAAGGACTTATAAGTTCATTTATTTTGCATTCTTATTTTACAGTAGTATTTATTTAATTTCCTCACTATCTATCCCTGGTATTTATCCCACAGCCTGGCTGGACTCTGTGCCACCCCGGACGTCCGGCCATACGACTTGTTTGAAGTGGTTTTGCATCACCAGAAGATTACAAACTTCGGCAACTTATAAATGCTCATTAGTCCAAGGACACGTCAATATTGTGTTGACGTCACATGGACACGTCAATATTATGTTGATGTATAATGCCCGTGTTGTCTTCTATTGTCACTTCATGTATGTGTCTCATTCATCAACGTCACCATTTTGAACTATTTCTGAACCATAGTAAATGAATACCTGACCATCAGAGATACCTTAAGGAACACCAAAATAATGGACAAATACAACGACAATAGAAGACTACACACTGGCGAGGCATTATACATCAACAAACTAAGTCAACCATCAACAGGTTAAAATTTGTTTGTGTTGTCTGATATATATAGCCAGGAATGAGGTGAAGAACTTCACTTGTTGGCCAATAGGCCCATTGTAACTTGCCACTTTCCTATGTTTCCGTGATGACCGGCACATTATATAGCATGTTTCGCCCTGTTCTCATAGATGGCAGAGTGTAACTTGGTGTTATTGGAACCCTTCCCCCCCCCCCCCCGGCCGGGTCCTCGCCCCCCCTCCTCGCTTCTCCCCAAGAACTGTCTTTGATTACGTTGACAAGGGTCAACAGAATGTATCTCTTAGTGTCAGGTCATAATAAAAATGTAAAATTAAATTTGGAGAGTTATTTTTCAATTTCCTTCTCAATTGAAGAAAAAAACAAATAGAGAAGATTCGTGTTAGGATCATTGATCTCGTGTCATTCAATAACATAAGTCTACAAGAAAGACCGCAGTTAAAACATACTAATACATATATATATATACATGCATATACATATATACATGCATATTATACATATACATACATACATATGCATATTATATATATATATATATATATATATATATATATATATATATATATATATATATATATATATATATATATATATATATATATATATATATATATATATATGTATATTTGCCTAATAAGCCAAGTTTTCATGATTAATTGTTTTTCGACTACCTAACCTACCTATATATAACTTTTTCGGCTACCTAACCTAACCTAACCTATAAAGATAGTCGTACCTAATAGCCAGAACGCACTTCTCAGCCTAATATGCAAGGCCTGATTTGCCTAATAAGCCAAGTTTTCCTGAATTAATATATTTTTTCTAATTTTTTTCTTATGAAATGATAAAGTTACCCATTTCATTATGTATGAGGTCAATTTGTTTTTATTGGAGTTAAAATTAACGTAGATATATGACCGAACCCAACCAACCCTACCTAACCTAACCTATCTTTATAGGTTAGGTTAGGTAGCCGAAAAAGTTGGGTTAGGTTAGGTTAGGTAGGTTAGGTAGTCGAAAAACAATTAATTCATGAAAACTTGGCTTATTAGGCAAATCGGGCCTTGCATATTAGGCTGAGAAGTGCGTTCTGGCTATTAGGTACGACATATATATACATATATACATATTATATTATATATATATATATATATATATATATAAAACATTGGAAGGCTAAAAATAGTTATGGTAGATTAGCTTTGTTTAGGCGTTGTGGATGCTAAACACGAGAACTTTGAGGCAAAAGCCCTGGACACGACACACAGTCTTCACTCTCTGGACCGTACTACCTTGGGATCATCAGTAACTTCTTCTTGAGCGTTTCCGGTTATTTGACTTCCTTCCTCATCTTGGACGGTCGTAGGAAGACTATCAAGACTGGGAGAGGGAGGAGCATCAGGCCCAGGAGGGTCAGGATCAGAGTCTTCATCTGGTGCTGTTCTCTGCCGGAGACAAGAGCCAAATACGCCTATAATAATCAGGAAATTATTATGAAATACTGTTAAGGTTAGGATATTTTGGGTCCGACGTAACAAATGCATTATTTGATAATAGTCTTGTAGGTTATGTTCCCATTTCTGGATACTTTATCAGTAACACTCTCACAAATAAAATAAAGACGTCAATATCTCTTAGTTAGTGGCTGCAAATATCCCCAGTTAGTGGCTGCAAATATCCCCAGTTAGTGGCTGCAAATATCCCCAGTTAGTGGCTGCAAATATCCCCAGTTAGTGGCTGCAAATATCCCCAGTTAGTGGCTGCAAATATCCCCCAGTTAGTGGCTGCAAATATCCCCCAGTTAGTGGCTGCAAATATCCCCCAGTTAGTGGCTGCAAATATCCCCCAGTTAGTGGCTGCAAATATCCCCCAGTTAGTGGCTGCAAATATCCCCCAGTTAGTGGCTGCAAATCACAAGACAATGATTTCATAAAAAAATGTTTCCTTGTTAAAGGCCATCTGATATTAAGTCTAATTATTAAAACTACATACTGTGAAAGTTCCATTTTGTCACATTCTGTCAGGCAAGTCCGGAGCACTTGTGTGATGGAAGGCATGTTGAGTTACAACTTTCTTCCTTAGAATGTAGTGACGGACGAATAGATGTAACAGCCACATTTCTCTTCGAAGGAGAAGAACAGAGAAGCGGGATACACTTCTCTTCGAAGAGAAGTGTATCCCGTTTCCGGTGTCCGTACACTTGAAAATTTACTTTAGTTTGAATGCTGTTGAGGAATGTACACTTGCTGGTCATTGGGCTCTTGTGATGCCTACAACCACTCTTCAGAGGTTAATTGGCCTCCAGTCCAAAACCAAGCAACTACTCTCTATGTTAATTAACCCAGAAATATATTGTAATGATAAAGTGTAGCATCTGAGCGTGTCATTATTTACATGGCAGGTTAGGCGTTTGGCTGCCTGATAAACTAACCCAATCTACCTTAACACATATCCTAATCTAACCCAATGCAACCTAACCTAACAGCCTAAGCAAACCTAACCCTTCCCATCGTACTGTAGCCAAAGCTAACTTAACCTAAGCAAACCTGACCCAACCCAGCCCAACCTAACCTGACCCAATTCAACCTAACCTGACCCAATTCAGCCTAACCTGACCCAATTCAACCCAACCTGACCCAACGGCTATCGTGAACACACTACATCTGATAACGACATCCTCTGATATCCTACCTTCTTGTTCTCCTCCTCGACGGACTCTTGCATTCTTTGTTGCATTCTCTGCTGCTCTTGATACTCCTGTTTCTTCTGTTTGCGCATCTGGTGTTCCTTCTTCTGTTGTAACAGCTGCTGCATTTTCTGCATCTGTTGCTGCATGAGGAGGTGTATTTCTGCGGTCATCTGTTCATGCATTTGCTGCATCTGTTCCAGCGTGGCCGGGTGAGAGGTGCGTTCCTTTTCCTCCTCTTCCTTCACCTGCGGTGGTGCCGGGTGCGCAACTCGCTCCTCCTTTGCCTCCTTCGCTCGTTGCGCCCTCTCCTCCTTAATCTTCTGTTGCTTCTGTATCTGCTGCTGCTGCAGCTGCTTTTGCTGTTGGTGCTTAATCTGCTGCTGCTGGAGGTTCAGTTCCAGCCTCTCCTTCCGTTGCTGCTGTTGTAGCCTCACTTCCTGCGCTCGACTCATGCGGCCTTTTGGAGGTCTGGTACAAAGGAAAGTGTGTGTTAGAGAGTTAGGTGCGCCGGTGTAAACACAAGCAACAATGTACTTAAAGCAGCGAGACCGCTCTTGTGTCAACACATAATAATGAATGTACTTTTCTAAAATGTTTCAACACAAAAGCACCAGAACCCTGTATACCACTTATGTCAGACCAATCCTGGAGTATGCAGCTCCAGCCTGGATTCCATACCTAGTTAAACACAAGACAAAGTTAGAGAAGATTCAGAGGTATACCACCGGACTAGTCACGGAACTGAGAGGTATGAGCTACGAGGAAAGGCTAAGGGAGCTGAACCTCACATCCCTGGAAAACAGAAGAATAAGGGGAGACATGATAACTACCTTCAAAATTCTCAGGGGAATTGACAGGGTGGACAAAGACAAGCTATTTAACACGGGTGGAACACGAACATGGGGACACAGGTGGAAACTTAGTACCCAAATGAGCCACAGAGACGTTAGATTTTTTTCAGTGTCATAGTAGTTAACAAATGAAATGCATTAAGTAGTCATGTGGAGTAGGCTGAACCCATAAACAGTTTCAAATGAAGATTTGATAGAGGTTCAGGAATCTGTACACCAGTTGATAGACAGTTGAGAGGCGGGACCAAAAAGCCACAGCTCAACACCCGCAAGTACAACTAGGTGAGTACACACACACACGTACGTTCCTTTGTGTTTAATGTGCTGCCTGCTAATGGGCAGTACAATGTGCTGCCTGCTAATGGGCAGTACAATGTGCTGCCTGCTAATGGGCAGTACAATGTGCTGCCTGCTAATGGGCAGTACAATGTGCTGCCTGCTAATGGGCAGTACAATGTGCTGCCTGCAGTAGGGAAATATGTGACTAGAGCGACGCGCGCCACCTGCCCAGGTGGCACTCATGAGTGGCACCTGGGCAGGTGTGGGGCGTCGCTCTAGTCACAAGGGGTTTGGGGGGAATTTCCCGGAAGTTTGGCGCATGTGAGCGTCCGGTGTTATGGTATGTGGTCAGGAAAGAGTGGAGGACATGTTGTTGGGTGTGCAGATGGTGGGCGCGGTTCTAGTCGCAGCGCAGGAGAGTAAGAAATACAAGGATAAGAGTGGAATATGAGGAAAGAGTAAATGAATATGTATGTGTGTTTGGCGTAGACTTAATCCTGTGTGACGATAATAGTTTTGATGATCGTAAGTAAGGTGAGAGGAGTCCCAACATAGTCTGTTATGTTGTTTGGGGTGGGGGAGGAGTAGGGGAGGGAGGGAGGGAGGGAAGGGTGAGTGGAGCTTCCCCTCGTCGTGAGACTGCTCGGGGTCATTTGCGGTTAGACAAACCATTAGCTCCCCCTACAGGAAGCCGTAAGTGTGAGAGGATGAGAGAGTAGAGTCCATTTGGCTTAATCGTTTTTTCAAGTCTAATTTCTTCGAGTTATGCATCTGTGTTTGGAGATGGAGCATGAGGGTGATAGTTGGGACATACATGGTATGAAGTGTGTAGGAGGAGGATAATGAGGAATAGAAAGAGAGCACTCACTCTTAAGTTGTGAATGAGATGAGGCAAACAGTTGGTGATGAAGGAGTGTATAGGTGTCAGAGTTGGACGGTGTGAACCTTTACCCTTAAGCGTTTATCAATGTCCGCGGAGGGGTGTGCGTACTGGTCACTGGTTAGAGGGTAACTGAAGACTCTTTCCAAGTAGTTTGGTTATATCTCCCCCTTCCGGAGGGTAGGCAATGACATCCATTACTTCCTCAGACTCGACGGAAGTGGTTGAGCATCCATTACCCAGTGCATTTTTCGTTAAGGAAGGGGAGATGCAGCTACGGTCCACGACTCCGTCTCTCTCTCTCTGTCTCTCTGTCTCTGTCTCTCTGTCTAAAGTCCACCACACGGCACATCACTTAGTAAACTCAGTCAAAGTCGGTAGGTTCGCGTTTACTAAAAGAGAGAAACATTTCACATCGTCACGGAGACGCGATCTCTACCTACAAATTGTTCTTGTTAACTGTGATCAATGAAATGTATGCATGTTTACTCAATCTCCATCACCTCTTCTTCCTACAGCCATTACTGTTGTGCGGAGCTATCTCGTTAAGGTCTAACCTTCGCGATGGTTTGAGACGTTGTGAGATTGACAAGGTGATGGGACGGCCTTACCCTCTCCCCATCCACCCCCACCAAACCCATACCCCTACCATCCCCTCCATGCCCAAACCATCAAGTATCACTGCTCCCTTCCCAGACCAGATGTTCTGTGCTAAGCCTTAGTATCATCATTCTTTGCTCAAATAACTTTTTTTTAAGATTATCCAGTCATAAGCTGGTCTTCAATCTTATTATTATAACAAATTTGTTGTAAACACAACTGCGTGGGATATACATAGCAGTCAGTGGTTTCTCTCTCTCTCTCTCTCTCTCTCTCCAGATCATTTAATAGTTGGGGAAAGTACCATCATTTCCTTTCTCCTGCTGCCGCTGTTCACGTATCTTTTTCCATTTCACTTAGACTGACAGCGCATCAGAGGATGGCCACTAATGTCAATTTTCGAGCCCCCATCACTCTCACCCTTATAACCTTATAAGGTAACACGACCAATATGCTAACTTCGTTCTTTGCCCAATATCATTTTAAGAGTAACGAGCAACTTTCTGTCCGATGTCTGAATAATGAAATGTACACCATGTTTAACCATTACATCCAAACACAATAAAAGATTACCACAAGCTTGTTTAGTTCTTGTATCACATAACGTAACGTAAGCGTTTATTCAACAACTGATAGACATAGCATAATATAGCTTCATATTCACTGTGGTAAAACAAACATACACATCACGGTCAATCCTCGCTTTATCTCAAACGCGCCGTTCATTCTCTCTCCATTTGGCGAGTAAACATATATACGACAATATGGAAAAACACAGTCTTGATACTATTATTAAATTGACTTGTTCATTATCCCCGAGTTCAAGGCTGTCTCTCTTAAGACCTACATCATCCAATGTAAACACCAATCGATGAGAATAAGACCGGGTGAGTCGATAGTGAAATAGCTCTGGACTATGGCTATTTTCAGTTCTTGTATCACAGTCAATGTAGCGTAATGGAAAACAGTCTTTCTACTGCCTACATAAATAGCGTTTGAAAATGTATGCTAGTCTAGACAATCTCCTATAGCCCTTACATTCTAAACACAAATAAAATATTAGCACACGCTTGCATCGCATTATATCATCATTAAGTAACGTGGAGATCAACTTTCTGGCTGTTGTCCGAATATCATTATTGAAATGTGAACCCCATTTAGCCAAACACTATCTCCATTACATCTCATAGCATATGAATATTACGGTATACCAGTTTTAACCCTCTATAACACAATGTAACGTAACGTAACGTAACGCAAATCAACTTTCTACAGACCAAATATCGTTTTTAAATGAAAGTATGACTTAGTCCATCTTCATTACATCTCTCACCATATAAAATATTGGCGTCTACCAGTTTTAGCCCTCTGTAACACAATGTAACGCAACGTAACGTAACGCAAATCAACTTTTTGCAGTCCAAAATGTCATTTTGAAACGGAAAGTGAGGGTTAGCCCATCTCCATTACATCTCTTCCCATATAAATAATTGATGTCTACTAGTATTAGACTTTGTAACACATTGTAACGTAACGAGGAAATCGTCATCATCATCATCATATTTCTACAGACCAAATATCGTTTTTAAATGAAAGTATGACTTAGTCCATCTCTTACCATATAAATATTGACCTCTACCCCTTTTAGCCCTCTGTAACACAATGTAACACAACGTAACGTAACGCAAATCAACTTTTTGCAGTCCAAAATGTCATTTTTAAATGAAAGTATGACTTAGTCCATCTCCATTACATCTCCTTCCATATGAATATTACGGTCTACCAGTTTTAGTCCTCTGTAACACAATGTAACGAGTTGCACTGTAGGCGTAGTCATTTTTATCACCCCGGCGAGATGTCGCTGCCATCCAGGTGCGTTTTTAAAGTTGCATTCTAGTCTTCGTCATTTTGGAAGTCAGCGTTAAAATAACGTAAAATTCAGGCATAGGAACTCTACTGAAAGCCCCTATTGGAGTCTCCAGCTGAATGCGGATATTTTTGTTATTATATAATTTTTAAAAGCAAGCTATAACATGACTCATTTTCATTTATTCCTCCCCCACTGCTAATCCCTTGTATGTCTCAATGCTAAAAAAAAAACAACTCACTGTAGCATATAACCAATCAAAATACTCATTCTGTGTACATATATATATGAACTAGAATGAGTAGAACCCGCTTCGTATGTTTACAATAGGCCTTCTGCAGTTACCTTCATTCTGATGTTCTCATGACATCATCATAGCCAACGCAGTGTAATCAACCAATGGGCACGTTGCTTTTAGCCCTCCATGACGACACACGAGCGGTTCCAGGGAGGGACCCGGCCTCTCATTAGCACATTCTCTTAATCTCTGAATAGCTCAACTGTTCCCTTTAAGCGTCATCACAGACTAGGCCATAATGTCTTGTATCCACTCATATCTAACTCACTCTATCATTGCTCATATTTTTCTCTTATTCAATTCCTCGGCCCTACCAAACCACCCTAACATATAATAACAAATACATTCTTTAGTAATAAGATCTGTTGTTTTAGCGATGCATGAGGTCACAAAAGTTGTCCCAGTAAAGGGATTAAATATGTCCTCACATTAACAGATGCGTGACAAGGCCCACAACAACCTGACTTTTCAATTATGAGTGACGTCACAAGATGTCCAATGAGGCCTTGGCATCCTACTTTTTTATGTAGTGTATTTAATGTTATTATTCAAAAAATGGCTATGCTATCCATTATTTCGAGGATATATATTATCCTTACCTATTTGGAGGTAAGGGGGGGGTATACTATACCCCCCTTACATCGAAATTATAGTATAGGGTAATTAAAAATTGTAGGGGTGAATATGGGATAT